AGACTACATTTATCCATAAATGTAGCCAGAGAGATACTAAAATACCAGCCAGATGTTTCATTTTCACCCCAAGCATGTAAAAAAGGATACCAGAAATAATATTCAGCACAAAAAGACAATAGAACAAAGCTCAGGGAATCTCTGCAAGACCCCAGAACTGATCTATACTTAAATAGTATCTGCAGAGTGTTATATTTAAGATTTTCTGGTTGGTTAATATTGTGCTTCCCTTCCACCCACCAAACTCACCTTATTATGAGCAATATGTTAGCTTTAAAAAATTCTTCACATTGAAATGTTATTTTAATTTGAAAAAATACTATATTGCTCTGAAAGTGTCCATTTCTTGGAGGCTTCTTTCAAATAGTTTGAATGGATTTTTGACACTTAATTTACTGTTGTTTTGAAATTGCTTTGTACCATAGGAGCAAAAATGCCTGTTTTCCCTATGGGAGGAAAAATATGTTTCAAAAAGAGAGGAAACTAAAATTAGGAAAATAGAAGGGAAACATAATCACACATATAAAATATTAAGAACACACATTTGCAGAGAAACTAGAAGGTGCCTCCCTTTTCCCACAGCTCTGGCAGGACTTGAAAGAAAGTTCCTCTCATCTTATTATGTTCACTCTCAGCTTGTTGTCATAGATTTGGAAAAGTGGATTTTTCCACATGTGAATTCTGCTTAACAATGTAAGATTTCCAGTTGTTTCATTTCATGTGCATGTTTTGAGTAACTTTTCATTTAACATGCATTTTACCAAGTGTTTATGGTGTTTTAAGCTTTAAGTATATTAAAAAAAAAGAGCGAGAGAGAGAGAGAAAGAAATGTTCCTTTGCTCATGGCCTGTCAGAGAGACAGATGTGTATTGAAAGAATAACAGAGAATGTGATAAATGTTGAACACAGAGAATGAAGCTCTTCATGTGGCCTGTTAGGGAGAAGTGATCTTGGAAAACTTCCTAGAGGAGGAGAAGCAGTATGTGAATTTGGTTTTCAAGAATGAATAGAATATACCTGGGGGACTTCCCTGGTGGCTCACTGGTTAAGAATCCACCTGCCAATGCAGCGGACACAGGTTCGATCCCTGGTCTGGGAAGATCCCACATGCCGCAGAGCAACTAAGCCTGTGCGCCACAACTACTGAGCCTGCGCTCTAGAGCCCTCGAGCCAAAAACTACTGAGCCCGCGTGCCACAACTACTGAAGCCTGCCCGCCAAGAGCCCGTGCTCCGCAACAAGAGAAGCCGCCGCAGTGAGAAGCCTGCGCACCGCAACAAAGAGTAGCCCCCGCCGCCGCAACTAGAGAAAGCCCGCGTGCAGCAACGAAGACCCAATGCAGCCAAAATAAATAAATAATAAAATAAAAAGTCTACCACAGCAGCAGTGGTATTGGTAAAAAAGAAAAAAAAAAAGAATATACTTAGGAATTCCCTGGCGTTCCAGTGGTTAGGATTCGGTTTTTTCACTGCCAGGGCCTGGATTTGATCCCTGGTCGGGGAATAAGATCCCACAAGCTGCATGGTGCAGCCAAAAAAAAAAAAAAAGAAAAAGAAAATATATACACTTAATGGTTAGAATGGTTAAAATGGCAATATATATTTAATAAAAACATTTTTCTAAAAGCACATTGGGATTTATCCTTTAAGAATCCCACCACTCTGTTATGTAGAAACCCAAAATAGCCACTATAGAGGCCACAAGGAGAAAAACCAAGGTGCCCTGGCCAACACCTCTAGCCATCTGAGACCTTCCAGCCATTCTAACTGCCATCTGACTGAATATGCACGAGGGAGCCAAGAAGACTGGCAGAACAGCCACCCACCAAGCCACAGAATCTTGACAAATAATAAATGGTTGTTGTTTTAAGCCACTTACAAAAAAGGAGAGAGAGAAAGAGAGAGTAGGAGTTTACTGAGTGGAGAGAGAAAGAGCAATTGAGGCTTGAGCAGGAATTACACCAGCAATTGCATTTGAGGAAAGCAAATGTATAAGAGGTCTTGATTCTTGCTGCCTGTCTCAGTGCAGCGGGCAATAGGAGCTGGTGTTTACAGAACACTCCCTGTGTGCCAGGCACTGTTCCAAGTGCTCTCCATGCATTATTACCTCAGTGGATGTTCACGATAACCTAGATGAGGAGACAGATACACAGAAGGCAAATCATTTGTTGAAGACCACACAGCTAGTAGGTAGCTTTTTTTAAAATTTTATTTGTGGCTGCGTTGGGTCTTCTTTGATGCATGCTGGCTTTCTCTAGTTCCCGCGAGTGGGGGCTACTCTTCGTTGCAGTGTGCGGGCTTCTCATTGCGGTGGCTTCTCTTGTTGCAGAGCACGGGCTCTAGGTGCGCGGGCTTCAGTAGTTGTGGCACGTGGGCTCAGTAGTTGTGGCGCACGGGCTTAGTTGCTCTGCAGAATGTGGGATCTTCCCGGACCAGGGATTGAACCTGTGTCCCCTGCATTGGCAGGTGGATTCTTAACCACTGTGCCACCAGGGAAGTTCCTAGTAGGTGTCTTTGAACTTCTGTCCATTGCCCCCATTCTAGTCCTGGGGACCAGAAGAAAAGGAACCCCTGTCTCTTATCATGGCCTCCTTTCCAAGTTGGAGCTGAAGTATGGAAAACCTGATTGTCACAGGTATGCTGAGGTACTGGTCCCTGTGCCCTCATGTCTACCAAAGTCCCCAACCAGTCCCTGGCCCAGCACATTCAGTATGTTGTAAAAATATAATTTTTCTGAGTGTGTCAGTTGTCAGGGTCCTAGTCCTATGCACCCCTAGGTCAAGAGATAGGTCAATGTAAGCTCTACTTTTTAAAGCCACTTCCACTCTCTGATACAATTCCTACTCCTTGGAGGCTAAGCCATGCAGTTGGCCTGTCATCGCTTCTCCTCATCTAACTACCTTCCTCAATTGTAGAGTGGCTTGGGAAGCACCCCCGGTTTCCTTTCCACCTCATGTCCATCCCTCATCCTGAGAGTTTTTGAGGCCACATGGCATCTCAGTTCCTTGACTGTCTCACCTTCAAAAACTTTTTCCTCCTTTGCACTTCAGCCAGGACCCCACTCTCGGATGGCTCTTCATCTGAGGTTGTTCAAGGCGCCCATCTCTTAGGATACCCTCCATCTTTCTGCCTGGTACCATCAGTGACTTCCATTACACCTGTTTGGGGACCTTCAGGCCAGTGTCATGAGCCTTTCCAGAATTCTCTTACTTAACATCTTGAGCATCCATCCTGTGCCTTTTGTTTTAAGCACTCTTAAAAGCTGAGATCTTAAACTCCTTGACCCCATCACACCTGTCTGGCAAACTGTCTTCCTGGGATTAACCCAATTGCTCATTTTTTTGTGTGCCTGTATCTTAATTGTTCAAACTAACTATGGAAAAATCAAACAACCATCATATTAGTATCACCATAAATTTAGAATCTCCATTCTCAATGGGGCCCTCAGTGTTCCTGAAATCTTATATTTCCCTGTGCTCCAACTTACTGCAGTGACTATTTCAAATTCATAGTCAGACTTTACTGTAAGCTTCTTTAGGGTGGAGTCCCTATCTGGCTTTTTCACCACTAAATCTCCAGTGCCTAGGATAGGCTTAATACATAGGTACTCAATAAGTATCTGTTTACTGACTGACGTGTAGTAATAGTGGTAGGCATTTCATGCAAATATTAGTAAATGTTAGCTACATGCCGGGCTTTATTCTTTGTGAGCTATATGTATTAGCTCATTTAATCCCCACAACCCCCCCAGTGAGGTTAATTAGAACTTTTGTCATGCCCATTTTACAGATAAGGAAATTTAGAGAGGCAACTTAGAGAGATGAAGTGATAAAAACTGTAAGTGGTAGAGTGGGTATTTACTCCTTAGAACCTGTAGAGAGAAAGCTTAGTGGGTCCAGTTGAGTTTTTTACAATCAGGCAAATGTGCTTCAGACTGGAGGTCAAGAGACAAGTGAAAATGAAGATTCATATTTAGGAGGGGACAGATAAACTGGTGACCTCAGAAAACAGAATATCCAACCTTGTTCACACCCTTGCTTTGGCAGAGCACTTCCAACAAGCCCCTGATGAAACTGGGGTGGTGTGTGTGCAGAAAGCACATTTGGGTGGTAAGGTGCATTTCTTTTTCTCCATGTGAGCTAAGACGTCAATCATATATTTGAATACAAGGGGGTGGATCCATGGTGTATTTGTAGGTGACTTTAATATTGGGTAACATCCCCCCTGGGCTGAAATTCAGCCTTGATTTTTTTTTTTTTCCTTCTTTTGCTAAGGTGCATTTTTAAGAGAGACGTTCCAGACTACCTCTCAGGTAGGAGGGATATCATTGCACTGCTCGAGTCCTTCTTTCCCCTTCACACTAGTTTCTCCCACTGATTCCCTGAGAGAGGGAGAGAGATCACCAACAATGAGCTCCTGTTTGTGTCGGGTCCACATATCTCATGGAAAGCTCCCTGCAGTTCTGGGAAGATAATTATCTCCATTTTACAGATAAGAATGACTAACATTTACTAAGTTTATTAAGTGTCTGGCACTGTGCTGAGTGTTTTTAGAGCATCATCCCATTCGATTCTCACAGCAATACTTAAAATTGGAACCACTGTATGGATGGGTCAGAGAAGGGAGGCGTCTTGTCCTAGGATACACAGCAGGTTAGAGTTGGCATTTAAACCCAGGTCTTCCTCATCACTCATTTCTGGAGGAACCAAGGGCTTTTTTCCGTGGAAGCAGGGAGAGAGAGGAGGAAATTCGAAGGAGAAGGCTGACGCTGATTTCTACCCAACCCAAACCCGGAGGTCAACGTACATTGCCAGACTCCCAGCTCACCTCCCACCCAGGCCTTGGCCGGAGGCGGGGAAGTGGTGCGCACGCGCACGGCCTCCCGTTCGGCCCCGCCCCCCGTGAGGGCTTCCCTCCTTGCTCTTGGCTCTGGGGCTTGCGCGCTACGTCCCCAGCCAACGGCTTCTTCCCCGTCAGGGACTTCCGGTGCGCGGAGTGCGGTTCCGGGTCGTGGCGGGGCTCGGGGCCAACAGGACTGCTGCTCAGCTGGCGAGCGGCGGTGAGCGGCAGGGGCATGAAGGCGAGCCCGGAAAGCGGCTGCTGAGCCGGCCGGGAGGAGCGCCAGTCCCCGAGGATTCCGAGAGTGCGGAGCTCGGGCAGGGGCCGGGAGGCGCGGGGGAGCCGAGCCATCCCCTCAGGAACGTGTCCCAGGGCCGACCCGGCCCGTAGTGTGGCAGCAGCTTCAGGTAAAGGTTGCCCCAGCCTCTAGCTCCTTCGCTCGCTACCTCCGCCAGCCCACCCGAGGAGCCTGGCGGCCTTCCTCACTCCCCCGCGCTCTGCGCTGCCCAGCGGGCAGCCTGTCTGGCCCTTGCTCTGGTCTCCCTTGAGCATCCGTTTTCTGGCCCTTTCGTGGAGGCAGCTATGAGCCTGACAGCTGGGTGTGTGATTTGGGGGAGTAGAAACTAGTGGACTTGGTAGAATTGGGGTTTGGGGAGGGTACTGTTGACTCTGGCAGTTTCTGGCTGTACCCTCGGCAACATCTAGGTGTCTTAATCTTCATAACGAGAAAATCAAGTTTTTAAAGCATTGTCTGTGCAGTCCCTGTTTCCCAGCTCCCCTTAGCTCCATTGCCCCAAAGGGGTAAACAGCCTCGCAGAACTGTTTTTTTCTAGCCAGAGTGCTGCTGGAACTTTGTTTCAGCCTTCCAAATCTGTTTAAGGCTGGGGAAAAAAAAATCATTTTAGTTTAAGCAAGAGCATTACTTCAACCGGAGACCCGAAAGTTGACTCAGAGATTGGCTCAATTTTCATTCTGAATGAAGTGATTTTTGAAGCCTCTCCCAATACCTGGCACTGTGCAAAAGCATCATGTTATAAACCAAAACCAGCAAAGTTCAAAACTTCCCCATGCGTGAACAGTCAAATGGAGACAGGTGTTTACAAACATCGGTTAAAGCGAAGTCAACGTTCTCGTTCTATCAATATTTTGACAAGCAGAAGGGGTGGATTCCTAATTTAAAACAGCAGAAAAGAAGGCACCATGTTTTATTCTTCATATTCTGTGAGCTCGCACAAGATGCTCAGTAAACGCTGAAAGAGTTGTTGATGAAGTATTGATATTTGTTTTATCTTTTTCAGTTTACACATTTGCAAGGTTGCTGGGGCCTGTGAGGCATGCAGGTGGCCCCTTTCCCATTCAGCTTTGTGTTCATACCTTCCTTCATCTCCTGTGATGCCTGAGTGTACTCACATTCCTCTACACCTCCTGGCTCCTGGCTAACTTTGCAGCTACGCTTCGAAAGGCCCCCTACCCAGATCCTTTACTCTGGTTAAGTAGGACCTAGATGCCTTTGTTGTTTCCTTTGTTCGTTGTTTTTTTGTAGGACTTTCTCTCTGCCTAGATTTCTCCTTTTCTGTTCCCACCTATTGAGATGTTACCACGGCCCAGCTGAAATTGGCCTTCCCTCAACCAGTTCAGGGCAATCTCAGCTGGAAATGATTTCTTTTCTAGAATCCTATAAACACTCATTATTATATCTACAATTATTTCACTTAGCAAACATCTACTGAGTATGGATATATACCAGGTACCATGCTAGACAATGTAGAGATAAATAAGACTCAGTTCTTGTCTGCTCAATTTAGTGAGTGAGATAAGGAAATAATTCGAACACAGAATGGTATGTACACTGCGGGAGAGTTCTTTCTGTGATCCAGTGGTAGCACAGAAGAGGGGGCGTTATTCACTTTTGAGGAGTGTACTATGTCCAGGTAATGTTTCATAATGTGGGGTTAACTAAGCTTTGTTATTTACTATACTGGAGATTATATTAGGTTTCTCTTGTTTAATCATTTTAACCTCAATTCACAGATTAGGAAGGCTCAGGATAAATTACACATCTGGTATGAGACAGCCAGGATTCAAACCCAGGTCTGTCTTATACCTACATCTGTGCCTTTTCCATTATGTGTTTTTCTTTTCTCACACCATAGCTCTCTGTATGCAAATACATATTGAAACAGGTATACAAGAGAAAAAATATCAATGTCAATATGAATGTCAGATAGTCCTTTAAATGTAGAGAAGACCTTAATCTTCCAAGGCAAGAAGGTAGTAGGTGGGTCAGCTCAACGTTGAATGAGTGGACCAGACATTCTGTAGAGAACAACCATGGATGCTGGCTTCAATTCTTGGTCCTTCCTCTTACTAGATATGTGACCTTTGGCAAGTTTCTTAATTCTAAGTATCATTTCCTTCAAGTATAGTTTGAGATGGGGGATGATAGAGACTTCATGAAGTGTTGTGAGCTAATGTGGGTAAAGGGCCTGATTTGTGGCAAGGTTCCCCTGAAAATAGCTGTAAGATGCAAAGATGCAATGCCTGTGGCATGGTTTTAGAGTAGTGAGTAGACCAGCCTGAATAAATCAAACCATTGCTTCTTTCAGTGGAAATACTGGGAAGTAAAGTTGGAGGGTCAGGAGGGGGTCAGAGTCAGGGCGTGTGTGTTGGGCAAGAGAGGTCACTTCCCGTTTCTGCTCATAACCTTTCCTGTTAATAAATACCTTGAAGATCTATGATTCATTCAGCTGTGCCAGGGAAAATGTTAGACCCAGGGATACAAAAAGGAGTATAACCAGGTCCCCATCCTGAGGTTGTCGACACTCCCATGGGGCAGACATGTTTGTGCAGGTGAACCATAGTAAAGCATAGTAGGTACTAAGATAGCAGTCCCCACAGGGTACTGTGGAGCACAAAGGAGGAAACACTGATAACGGTAGCTAATGAGCACTTACTGTGTGCCAGCATTGAGTTAAATGCATTCTCATTCACTCCTCTACAGGATGGTGTTATTACCATTCTGATTTTACAGATGAGGAAACTAGAGCACAGAGGTTAAATGAATTCCTTTAGTTTATGCAGTTGTTGGAGCTGAGAGTAGAGGGAATTATCTGCCAGACTTTGGTAACTCCACTCTTTGGTACTACGCCATGTTGTGTCTTTGTGGCTTCGGAGAGGAGCTAGCCCTTGAGCCCTAGCTTTAACGTGCCCATCACCATGCTGGGCAGTAGGAATAATGAGGAATGAACATGGCTTCTGCGCTCAAGGAACTCATCACCTCATCTGTCCCGTTAAATATATATACTTAAGTGGGGTGTTTGTTTTGCTTATTGACTCATAACTGAAGACTTTAGAAACTATTGCAGTTCAGTAGATTATATGTGCTTCAGCCGAATTTGCTGTAAATCTGTTATTTTGATGTGTAGGCCTTATTGTTAAGGACGCAGCGATAGATGCCAAATTATTATGACAAAGAATTCTGTCACATTACATTGTTTCTCTTATGGGAGGTAACCTGACCTTGTGTTTTCTGTGAGTTTGAAGTTTTTCACTCAAAAGTTAGCACATTTTAGCTTGTGTTAAAGTAATTGAGTGCTTACAGTCATCGTTAAATGTTTCTGTATACCTTATTTCCTTCAGTCTTTATGATTCTGTGAGCTAGGGTATTACCAATTTAACACGAGTAGCCTAAGCCTTAGTGGTTAAGTGGGTTACCCAAGAGTCATACAGCTAGTGAGTTGATAATGCAAAAAAAAAAAAAAAAAGTTGGCCAAAACAGTAAACAAATATTTATTAATTTAGTTCTCTTTTGAACTCTACCTCAGGAGTCTCCAACTCAAATGCCCATGATGTAATATAAAGAGTAGGACAGATCTTGTGAACTGGAGGGCCCATGACCAGTCAGTCTGAAGGCAGCAGTCACTACTCAGCTCCAGTTGCTTGTCGCCGTGTGAGGAAGTGGACCCAGTATCTCTAGATCTTCCGATTGTTTTCAAGAGATGCTGGAAATCTGAATTTTAATGTATTTAGTTTAAAAAACTGCCCTTAAAAAAATTATCATGTAGACCAAAACACATTTGTGGGCTGTGTACAGTCTTAGGCTGCCTGATTGTGAACTCTGACCTACCTGCTCACTGAAATTTTGATACCCACTGTTCAAAGCAGGAGGTACAATGCCTGTTGTGATTATTGATCAGAAATCTACTGGTAAATTGCTAGAGTGAGGGGGTGTTGTATTTGACTCATACTGATATCTTTGGGGAAGTGGCAGGGTAAATGCTTTTACTGTATGATCAGGCTGAATTTCTGGAGGGATGGGGTTTGGATGAGGTGATGATGACCTTGTAATACTTTTGTGCCCTTAGCACTTTAAATGCTGCCAGATCTCTTGTTTCCTTTGGTACTCTCTACAGTACATGAAGTGAACAAGGGGGGTTATCATAACCTCTTGAGATGAAGAAATTGGTGCCCAGTGAATTACAGTTTAGTAGAAAGTGCACTAGACTGAGAGGGACTTGAATTCTGAATGCAGGTATGCCACTAACAGCCTTCTGGTTTTGGTCAAGTCACTTACAAGTATCTTTGTATCTTTTTTGCCATCTGGATGATAATGAGGGAGCACGATTGAAGTCTTGGTGAGGTCTTTTCAGGATGCCAAGCTTTCTGATTCTAATTGACATGCTTAAAGCTGCACAACTGATTACTGGCAGACTCCAGTGGAGAACAGTTCAGATCTAAAATGCTGCTTCTCTCTTTTTCTGTTCATTTTTTTTTTTTTTTTTGCGGTACGTGGGCCTCTCACTGTTGTGGCCTCTCCCGTTGCGGAGCACAGGCTCCAGACGCGCAGGCTCAGCGGCCATGGCTCACGGGCCCAGCCGCTCCGCGGCATGTGGGATCTTCCCGGTCCTGGGCACGAACCCGTGTCCCCTGTATCGGCAGGCGAACTCTCAACCACTGCGCCACCAGGGGAGCCCTAGGGTTTGTTTTTTTTTTTTAATCAAGAATCTTTGTTAAAGAAATAATCAGAAATGTAGAAAAATATTCATGTTCAAAGGTGTTCACTGTGGAAGTATTTATAATAGCAAAAATTAGAAACAACTTTAGTAATCAACAAAGAGGTAAGAGAAATGGAAAAGCCATAGAATGGAAATATTGTACAAGCATTTTAGATGTTTTAGAAGAATTTTAGTGACTTAATATGCTCATCATATAATATGAAGTGAAAGAAGGATATAAAACTAAAGTATGATCTCAATTAATGTCAAACACACAAAGAAAAAAACAGGTGGTTAGATTATAGGTCTTTATGCTCTTTTCTGTTTTCCAAAATACTCTCTGATAAACATAAATTACTTTTCAATAAAAAATCCTTTTAATTAACTTGTAATTGAGAAATATGGGTAGAGCT